ACCCAAATCAAAATAAAATTAAAAAAAAAAAAAAAAGCAGTGAAACACTGTCTGATATATTACTGGAAAACTTGATTAATAGCCCTGAAACTTTGACTGATACAGTGCTGGAAGATGAGCCCCAAAGGTTTGGAAGGCACTCAAAATACAACTGGGGAAGAGCTGCCTCTTTTAAGAGTAGAGCCGATCTTAATGATGGGGATGGAGTAAAGCTTTCAGGACCTCCATTTGCTGATGTGGCATGACTCAAAATGGGAAGAAATAGCTGCAAACATCCATTAATAATTGGAACATGGAATGTACAAAGTATGAACCTAGGAAAATTTGAAATTGTCAAAAATGAAATGGAATGCATAAAGATTGACATATTAGGCATTAGTGAGTTGAAATGGACTGGTTTTGGCCATTTTGAATCAGACAACCATATGATTTACTATGCCAGGAATGACAAATTGAAAAGAAATGGTGTGGCATTCATCATCACAAGGAATAAATATTTCCAGGTCTACCCTGAAGTACAATGCTGTCAGTGATAGGATAATACCCATACACCTACAAGAAAGACTAGTTAATACTACTATTATTCAAATTTATGCACCAAACACCAAAGCCAAAGATGAGGAAATTGAACATTTTTCCAACTTCTGCAGTATGAAATTGACCAAACATATAATCAAGACACGTTCATTTCACTGGTAATTGGAATGCAAAAGATGGAAACAAAGAAGAATCACCAGTAGTTGGAAAATATGGCCTTGGTGATAGAAATTATGCTGGAGAGTACATGATAGAATTTTGCAAGACCAGTGACTTATTCATTGCATATACCTTTTTTCAAAAACACACACAGTGGCTGTACATGTAGACTTTGCCAGATGGAATACACAGGAATCAGACTGACTACATCTGTAAGAGGTGTTAGAGAAGCTCAATATCTTTAGACAAACCAAGGCCAGGAGCTGACTGTGGAACAGACTATCAATTGCTCATATGCAAGTTCAAGTTGAAGCTGAAGACAATTAAAACAAGTCCACGAGAGCCAAAAGATGACCTTGATTCTATCCCTCCTGAATTTAGAGACCATCTAAGGAATAGATTTGATGCATTAAACACCAATGATCAAAAACCAGAGGAATTGTGGGAAGACATCAAGCACATCATCCATGAAGAAAGCAAAAGATCATCACAAAGAGAGGAGAGGAAGAAAAGACCAAAATGAATGCCAGAAGAAACTCTGAAACTTGCCTGTGAACAGAGAGCAGCTAAAGTAAATGGAAGAAATGACAAAATAAAAGAGCTGAACAGAAGATTTCAAAGAGCAGCTCGAGAAGACAAAGTCAATTATTATAATGAAATGTGCAAAGACCTGGAGTTAGAAAACCAAAAAGGAAGAGCAGCTTGACATTTCTCAAACTGAAAGTACTGAAGAAAAACTTCAAGCCTTGAGTTGCAAAATTGAGAGATTCTGTGGGCAAGATATTGAATGATGCAGGAAACATCAAAAGAAGAGGGAAGGAATATACAGTCACTGTACCAAAAAGAATTGGTCAATGTTCATCTATTTCAGGAGGTGGCATATGATCAAGAACCAATAGTATTGAAGGAAGAAGTCAAAGCTGCACTGAGGGAATTGGTGAAGAACAAGGCTCCGGGAATTGACAGAATACCCATTGAGATGTTTCAACAAACAGATGCTGCACTGGACACACTCCCTTGGCTATGCCAAGAGATTTGGAGGACAGCTACCTGGCCAACTGACTGGAAGAGATCCATATTTGTACCCATTCCAAAGAAAGGTGATTCCACAGAATGTGGAAATTATTGAACAATATCATTAATATCACATGCAAGTAAGATCTTACTGAAGATAATTCAAAAA